CCTAGTTCAATCAATACTTAAGAAGGATCTCCCTCTACAATATGCCCAAAGAAGCATTTATCCAGTCATGACTTGAAGACCTCCAGTGATGGGGAACTCATTACTTCACAACTCAGTATTTTCTGACTGGGGGTAGTTTTAATTAATAGGATGTTCTCCCTCACATTGAAATTTGCCTTTCTGCAGCTTCTACTACTGCTGCTAGTGTCTTGTCTTCTGGGGCCAAGCCAAACAAGTTGCACATTTCAATTCCTGTTCTTTATAAGATTACTAGAAATCTCCTTATTACCTAATGGATAAACATAGCAAAAGAGGCAAATTTATACTTGCAATAAATAAAAACTTCCTTACAGTTAAAGCTACCCAAGAGGTAGCAAGCTCCTCACCACTGAAGGACAGCTCAGCAAGTGGGTTCTTGTTCAGGCATGGATGAGACTAGCAGGTCATTGGGGTCCTTTCCAATGCTGAGACTCTGTAACAACCTCTTTTTTGTTCTCCTTAGCTTTTCTGCAACCTTGGATACCATTAATCTTCCTTCTTGGCCACCTCCACACCATGCTGCCTCCATTTTGGCCATCATTTCCATCTCTCTCCCCACAGTGCCTGGCTAATAAGCATTGCTTAATAAATGCTTTATCTGCCCATCTGCTAGCTAGCTTGCTTAAAAGTCTTTCCTCCCTGGGCTTCTACGACTACCTTTTTTCTGGTTGTCCAGGCAGCTCAGCATATTCCCAAAAGACAAGGCCAAAGAATGAGCTGGGTGGAAATTAAGATAACCAAATGCTAGAACTGAAAAGGACTTCAGAGAATAATTTAGAGATTTTTTTTTTAAAAGATGCACTTGTTACTGCTGTTACGTGTGAAGAAATTTTTAACATGGTAGAGACAGGCTTTTAGAAAACAATTCTACTGGGCAAGTGAAAGGGAGGCACCTTAGTAAATCTTCAGAGCACCTGGTATACCTTACCAGCTGGTAACCTTAATACAACTCATTCATATAGGCTTCTGTACATAAACAAGGTTTAGTGTAAGTGGTATTATGCTAATTTTATAGACGAGGAAACCAAGGATCAGAAAGGAGAAGTAATTTGCCCAAGGTCACATAGCCAGTAAGTGGCAGACAGACCTCCCTTCTCTTTCCATTAATACCCCATGCTGCAGCCCGAACAGAAACCTAGCCCTAAGGTAAGGAAAGTCTGACTGAAGAGTTAACTGACTCATCCTTAGTTCATTTCCCTCAACTTTCTCCTCTAGCTTAAATGCTAGGCCAAAATGTTCAGAATCTAATACTAGGTAAATCTAGGCTGACATTACTGCTAGGTCTCTTAAGAATTTCAGAATCTTTCTAAAATCTGCTTCCTAGTCTTTTCTGGGACCAGATGTCCCCAGAGAATAGGGTTATTTTGTCCTTCTGTTCTAAAGCAGTCATCGATCTCTGGACCTATCAGTCATCTGGGTTCTACAAAGGAACTAAGAAATTAAGGTCACATCTGAGACCAGAAACAGGAACACAGTACTTAGGCCAACAAGGGGGATAAATTGAAAATAGATGAAGCAATAATTGGAAGGTGCTAGTGCAAGATAAATAGGACTCCATCAAAAGATGGTGCCCACCATCAAAACCTGCTAGCTTACTGAGAGGCTAGGTGAAGATGAGAGCTCAGGATCACTGATGAATAGTTCAGGCAAACCATGGATAGATGTAAAAGTTAGGATGTCTACAGTTCATAGCCATGGGAACCTCCAGAAAGGCAAAAAGAAACCAAAATGTCCAGAGACAGATGAAATAATAGGATTTATACTTAATAACTCCTTCAGAATGGTAGGGCTGTAAGGGACTGCAACAATTCTCTACTCTAGCACTCTTCTTTGACAGAGGAGTGTATGGGGACTCACAGAGATGAAGTGACTTGCTTTGGGTCCTGCTACTAACAAATAGCAGGGAGGTGTGAGGTCCTTGCACACAATACTTCCCTGCCTTCTCTTCTTTCCTTGCTCACTAGGGGACTCTAGAGCAGATAGATTCCCCAAGTCAGGGGTCAGATAACTTAAGGTCTCCTTTGAAGAAGACTTTTAGCAGTGTTGCTGCACTTCTTAAGACTAGAACATGAGCAAACTGATTTAGAAGGTCATCCAATCAGAGAAAAGATAAGGAACAAGGAGGGGGCAGAATCAAACAAGAACTTCCTTATCTTAATACACAGGTTTTTAACCTTTTGGGCATCATGGACCCCTTTGCCAGGTTGGTGAAGCCTACAGACTCCTTCTAGAATCGTATTTTAAGAAGCATTAAGGGGGTGGAGCCAAGATGACAGAGTAGAGGCAGGGATTCTCTCTAAGCTATTCCAAATTCCCCTCTGAACAACTTTAAAATATTGCCTCAAATCAAATTCTGGAGAGACAGAGCCAAAAAAAGGTCAGGGTGAAACAATTTTCCAGTTCAAGGTAACTTAGGAGGTAGGCAGGAAAGGTCTGTCTCAATGGGGTGGCGATTAGGTCTGGAGCACAGTGCAAAGCAGGCTGTGCCCCAGAAAGCCAGGAGTGGGCTTTGGGGGCAGCTGGTACCTTTGGGAACTCTCAGCCCTCAGATGGTAAAGGGGTCACACAGCTAGATAGAAGGAGATTACAGGGGCCTCTTTGTAGGCACTGGGTGCAAGACTCTGTTGCATTACCCATACATGGTTCTGGGTCACAGTTCCAGGGCAAGAAGTAGCACTAGTACACAAGTATGCAGCCACAGGGGGCAGGGATGCTGGACACACTTTCAGGGCTGAAAAAGAGTACATGTGGTCACTTACAGACCAGAGCACAGGCCAGAAGAGCAGTGACCCCACCTCTCCTTCGATCACACCACCTTGGAAAAATCAAAAACTTACACTCCCACAGAACTAGCTCTGAAGTCTGCAGCATGAAAAGACTGAAACTTGAGACAGTGTCCTTAACCCCACAGAAGAGTACACTTTTAACATAAACTTCAAAATCAAGAAATAGGCTGAGAAAATGAGCAAACAATAAAAGAATCTGACCACAAAAAGTTACTATAGTGACAGGGAAGAGCAAGATACAAACTCAGAAGAGGACAGCAAAGTCAAAACACCTACATGTAAAGCTTCAAAGAAAAATGTGAATTGGTTACAGGACAAAAAATAAATAAATAAAAGAATTTGAAAAATCAAGTAAGAGAGGTAGAGGAAAAATTGAGAAAAGAAATGAGTGATGCAAGAAAATGATGAAAAAGGGAAAATACTGAAGAAAATAACATCTTAAAAAACAGAACTGATCAAATGGTAAAAGAGGCACAAAAATCCCCATGAAGAGAAGAACTCCTTGAAAAGCAGAATTGGCCAAATGGAAAAGGAGATACAAAAGCTCACTTAAGGAAATAACTCTTTAAAAATTAGAATTGGGGGTAGCTAGATGGCACAGTGGATAGAGCTCTGGCTTTGGAGTCAGGAGGACCTGAGTTCAAATCCAGCCTTAGACACTTGACACTTACTAGCTGTGTGACCCTGGGCAGGTCACTTAACTCTGGGTAAATCACTTAACCTCAACTGCCTCACCAAAAAAAGAAAAAAAAAAAAAAGATGAGCAAGATGCTTTCAGAAAAACCTGAGAAGACTTACATGAATTGATGCAAAGTGAAGTAAGCAGAACCAGAAGACCAACTGTGAATGACTTGGCTATTCTCAACAATATGATGATCTAAAACAATTCCTAAGGACTTATGATGAAAAATGCCATCCACTTGCAGAGAAAGAACTGATGCAGCCTGAATATAGATCGAAACACACATTTTTTTACTTTCTTTATTTTTCTTGTGTTGTCTTTTTTTTGGGGGGGGGGTCTGTGTTTTCTTTCTCAATGTAGCCAATGTGGAAATATATTTTGCATGACTACATATATATAATCTAAATAAAATTGCTTGCCCTGTCAAGGAAGGGAGAGGGAAGGAATGAGGGAGAGAGAATCTGGAACTCAAAACTGTAAAAAACAAAAGTTAAAAATTGTTTTTACATGCAATTGGTAAAAAAAAAACATATAAAAATAAAAAGCATTAAGTAAAAGACATAGGGTTACAAAGTAAATAAAATTTCACTAACCAAAAGCCAGCAAAAATAAAGATGCAATTTTTACACCACCCAAGTTCACAAATGAGCTAATAAAAGAGATAATATCTGTACAGCACTTTACAAACCTTAAAGTACTATATAAATGATGATTATGATGCTAATGATAATGACAAACTCCCTGAAAACTATTCACTGACCCCCTGAAGTTCATGGTTGCCAGGTAAAGATCGACTGCCTTAGTTTTAAGATTTTGCTCTGTCAAGCTCTTCCCTGCTTGCACCTTGGATTACTCCAGGTAATCACCTATGCACAGTGCAGTAGAAAAAGCAACAGATTTGGAGTCAGAAGACCTGGGCACAAGAAAGGGAAATTGCCTTCCCCAGCTTACTCTGTTAGGTGGAAGAAGTTGATTCACCTTTCCTAGGTTCAGGAATTCATGGTTTGAATTAGGTAGGATTTAACAAGATGACCTCTGAAGTCCATTTTAACCCTAAGACTATGTTTTAAATACTAGGCCATGATTAGAAGTTTCCTTACATATAGGAACTTTGAGCTATTTGTCCTCACTGGGTCGCTGGAAGGATCAAATAATAAAACATTTCATAAACCTTAAAGCACTAAGAAACATCAGACATTCTTAATAGTGAATCCTGCTGCCTGGGCTCTTTGCTCAATCTCTGGAAAGTGGTCTTGGACATGGCCGGTTATACAGGCAGCAAATTCTATCCAGAGAACACTCAGAGCTGTATGCTCTTTCCCCTGTGGCAAGGTCAAGATTCCTTACAGCCCCAGCCAGCTGCAGTCACATTTTCCAGACCCACAGCTGAGTCTTACCCTTGGACTATCCTTTCAACTTAATTCAAAAATCTCTGAAGTGCCTGTTGTGTGTACAGCACTGCGAGAGGCCTGGCCTCACGAGTATCTACATACTTGGAAATAAGCAGCTCCACGAGGTGGAGGTGGCCACAAGTGGCAGCAGCATGTAGGGGCGTCCAAAGTTCGCTGTCACAGGAGTTCACATCAGCCCCAGCCTCGAGAAGCTGCTGCACCATCTCCCCGTAGTCATCGATGCAGCACTGCAAGCCACAGAGCATTCCCTCCATCAGAAAACCCTCCAACTCCCAACTCCCCCCTAGAGCCCAGACAAACTTGTGTTCACCTTATCTGCTGAAGGCATAAATCACTCACTGCTGCAGTGTCCCCCTTGGGCATTAGTGACCCCACATCACCCCCAGAAATCCATTACTTCATGCCCTTAGTCAGCATCCCCATTGGCTTGAAAAAAGTTCTCAAGACACTAACCTGGTGCAGGGCAGTAAGGCCATCCTCGTTGCACAAATTGGGGCTCACACCATTCTGAAGGAACTGTCGGACTGCCAGGAGAAACCAGGACACAGTTAGAGGCCAGGACTGTTGGTAGCAGCTGCACATGTGCCTATATCAATGTGTTTATGAGGGGATTGGTGGCAGGGGAGGTTAGAGGAGAACTACTATACCATTAGCTGAGAGATATCCCAGGTGAGCCCTGAGGACAAGGCAGGCATACATTCCCTTCCCTAAAGCCCCAAACTCCCTATTTCTCTGAGGCAGATGAGGAGGTCAGGTTAAGAGAAAGACTGGGCAGTGGGATGAAACAAGAAAAGGAAGGAAATTTCTTTCCAGGCCTTTTTCCACCATATCTCTCGGGTCCATGTGGGTTAAATAAAAGACAATTTAGTAGGGCCTGACAAGCTTGATTTCTTTCCCACCTACATCTGCCTATTCAAATGATTACCCTGGGCAAGTTACCTTGGGCTGGCTTTCTGGTTAAAATGGGAAGAAGCAGAAAGGTCCCTAACCTTCCAAAAAGCCTGCTTAGCTAGGGCTCTCACCATTCCCAGCCAGCAAAACACCGACCCTGTAGTGCCCCTAAACATCTTAGTAGGGTGTTGGCATGGTATGTGGGGTATACTGAGGTCCAGCTTACTCTATATCTCCTTTAAAGAGATGGGCTGAGGCTGCAGCAGGACATAGAAAGGAAACTTCTCAAAAGGGAGATCCTGGAGCTGATGCCAGAAGGAGGTTGAGGAACAGCCATCTAACACTCGTCTCTTGCGTACCAGGTTGGTCTGGGTAGGGTAGGACAAAGATAGAGCAAGGCGGAGCAAAGCAGGCCAGAACTGAAGAGAGCTGGGAAGCATAAGAGATCCATCATTTTGACCTGCACCCCTCAAACTTCACACTCCCTGAACAGTAGAGAAACATGGCAAGGGATGGCTTCTCCCTCCCCCAACTAGGGTTGAGGGTATCCTCCAGAAAGGGAAGAAGAGATTATCATCTGAGCAGCCTCACATCTGCTCCTAGGCACTGCCCAATGCCAGGGGCCATTTCCTATTTTCTCCTCTTGTCCCACATTCTGCATTTATTTACTCTTTTAATAATAATGATGGCTAGCATTTATAAAGCACTTTAAAGTTTGCAAAGTGTTAACTTATTTGATCATCACAACAACCCTGAGAGGTAGGTGCTATTATTATCCTCATTTTATAGATAAGTAAACTGAGGCAGACAAAAATTAAGTGACTTGCCCGGGGTCATCAGCTATTAAATATCTAAGCAATGATTCAAACTCAGGTCTTTCTGGGGTCTGTGTTCTAAACATTGTGCCACCTTGCTGTCTCATTTTCCCCTTTGGCTTAAACTGTCTCCTCCATCTTGACTTCCCCCTACACTTTCCAAATTCTCTTCCATTTTTTTTTGTTGTTCAGTTATTTCAGTCGTGTCCAACTCTTCATGACCCCACTTGGGGTTTTCTTGGCAAAAATACTGGAGCAGTTTTTATTTCTTTCTCTAGCTCATTTTACAGATGAGGAAACTGAGGCAAACAGGGTTATGTGACCAGCCTAGAGTTACACAGCTAGTAAGTGTCTAAAGCCAGATTTAAACTCAGGAAGATGAGTCTTCCTAACTCCAGGCCCAGCACTCTATCCACTGCTCTACCTGGCTTCCATCTTTAAGGCACAGATATACTTTATGCAACAATTACCTCCCATTTCTGGTTATTTAGAACAAACTTTTAAAATTATGAGCCTCTAATAATAAAACATTTTCGAACAACCCCAATATGTCCATGTTTACTTATTATATACCTGTACTAATAATTCTGTCTACTGTAAAACATTAAAAAATGAAAATGATAAAGATGAAACTACATTTGACCTTAGAATCAATACTCTACTGATAGGAGAGTAACATGATCTTTGGGAAAATTACTTTAGCAGCAACGTGTAGGATGGATACAGAAGTGAGAAACTTGAGACAGGGAGCTGGCATTAGGAGGCTATTGCAATAATCCAGGTTAGGGGTGATGAGAGCCTGAACTAGGGTGGTGACTATGTGGCTAGAGAGAAGGAGATGGATGACAGAGGTAACGGAAATAGAATCAACAAGATTTGGCAACTAATTAGATGTGTGAGGTGAAAGAAAGTGATGAGTCATAAGTCTAAAATCATATAGAGATTGTAAACTTAGGCAACTAGAAGGATCATGGTTGCTCTTTCCAGTAACAGGTAAATTTGGAAGAGGCCTGGATTTAGAGGAAAAAGAAAATGTATTAAGATCTGTAACGCAGATCACAACCCAGCCATGTCTGCTTATTCCTTGTGATTTACCCTGTCTCTTGCCCAATAAAAAAATTTTAAAAATTTTTAAAAATTTAAAAAAAGGAAGAGGCAGAGGAGATTCTTACCAAACAGTATCTTAGAACACAGAGCTCATCCACTGAAAGGAGACGCCTGCTGTAGTCAGGAAATAATCTGGAGAGCAAAGTGTGGAGATACTGGGGTGGAAAGCAGAGTTATGCCTGGGCAACTGCTCCAGGTGCACTGTGCTTAGACTGTAACTGCACCTGTAGGGCCAGTGCCTGTGCCTGGCCAACTCTGCGAGGTCAGAGGTGAAAGAGAATGTAGTGCAGGAGTGTGGCATGATAACGGGTGAAAGAGATGGTGTAGAGTTGGAGACAAGCTTATGTCTGGCCATTTTTGAGAAGGGTGGGATTAGTATCATCTTCCCATCCTCCAATTAGCTGATCACACACCACTTGGGGTCATGCCATGACCTCCCCAGGAGTGCACAGCCCCAGATTCCAAAGACCATTGTTTTACAATTAGTTACTTAGTAAGAGCGTAGGTTCTAGCCCTCAAGATCACAATCAAAGGATGACAGAACTGGAAGTGCCCTTACATGCTACCAAATCTAACTCCCTAGATATCTAGAGGAAGATACCAAGGCACAGAGAGTAGAAAGGATATGGTCAGGATCACACAGAATTAGTGCTTCTAAATGTCAGTCATGTGACAAGGCAGTCAAAAAAGTTAATCTGATCTTGGCTTGGGACTCACTAATAAAGTACAGTCCTATCATCCTCTGGCTTGGTCAGAACACCTCTGGAATACTGTGTTCAGTTCCAGGAGCCACATTTTAGAAGGACACCAATCAGCTGGAAAGCATCCAGAATGCGGCTGGCAAGGGGCCCCAAGACCATGTATAGGAGGCCTGGATCAAAGGACTAGAGCTGTTTAGCCTAGAGAAGAGAAAACTCAGGAAGAAAACTGTTGCTGCCTTCAAGCATTTGAAGAGCTGTCATGTGCAAGAGTGATTAGGACTGTTCTGCTACGCCCTAAAGAGAAGAGGCCCAAGCCCTAAACAGGAGGAGCTCTACGTACTATGGCCACAATGTGGGGGAGCTCTTTGGTGTGTGTGGGTCTGATGGAAAGAGGTATTACCTCTGCAGCTGTCATGTGCAAGAGTGATCAGGTTCGGTCTGCTTTGGATCAATCAGTTGAAGTTAAATGTTAGCTCAATGAAAAGAAAAGCTTCCTTGCAATTTAGAGCTGTCCAAAAGCAGAATGAGCCTCCTGGTGAGGTAACAGGAAAACTGGAGGTCTTTTCAAGCAGAGGCTGAATGATCATTAGTCCAGGATTCAGTAAGAAGGGATTCCTGTTAAGATGAGGTTAGACTAGAATCATAGGATCAGAGATTTAGAGCTGGAAGGACCTTAGAAATTATTTAATCTTACCCTCTCACTTTACAGATGAAGAAACTGAGGACCCAGAGAGGTTCCCTTGCCTGGGTCACACAGGCAGTAAGTGGCAGTCAGGTCCTTTGATTCCAAATCCAGCACTATTTACACCGTTCTACACCACCTCCCATAGATTACATTTAGGGACCCTCTCAACTCTGAGATTCAGTGAACTCTGTCCAGAATCTCCATCTCTCAGTGTCCTCTGGTCCATGAATGTGGGGAACAGAAGTCACCTGGCAAGGCTAATTCAACCTATACTTTTTTTGCCCTAGGGAAAGGCCTCCCCTACCGTTTAAGGGCCCTGGTGCCTCATTCTGGGGGCAAGCCAAGTCTAGGAGTTTGGTGGAGGGTGGGGGGAGGTGCTACCCAATCATCTTAGTAGCAGACCGTGAATCTTTGTTAGGAATTTTACATAGGAGTCCCAAGAGACCAGATTGGGGGCTGGTACTCTTGGGGAAGAGCTGTCTAAATTCACAGTGGAGTGGCACTGGGCACTTCGTGGACATGGACCTTCACTGACTATAACCTGTCCTTGTGCAGTAAAGTAACCTGAGGCTGATGCCTGGCTTTCTCAGTTCAGTTCAGTTCACATGCCTAGGGAAGTGAGGAGATTTATCACAGGGCCTGGCACTGGGCAGCACCACTGAACAGACAGGGTTCTGTGGTGCACCAAGGACAGATCATAAACTTAGCTACTACCAGAGCTAGCAAATAAGGATATTACAGAAGTGGGAAGGCCTTGCCAATCTCACTGGGCAGCCTCCTAGGCTTCTGGCAGCAGGAAGGGAGAATTATAAGGAAAGGGCCGAGAAGAAAGAGGAGAGCAAAGACAATAGTTGGAATACACCAGACTCTTTCTACAGCTCAACCAGGTCAGATTCTGGGGCAGGGAAAACCATACTGCTTGACACCAATGATGGAGATGAAATCAAGACCACCTCCCTGTCCACTCTAGAGCAGCAGCTGTGCCCAGGAAGATGTCAGCATCAGGCAAAGGGCAGAACTATGACACTGGGCACGGGCAAGATTCCCGTGATGGACAAGAGCAGGAGGATAAACACTGCCTTAGGCTCTGACAGACTCTCAGCTGGAAGGACTTTAGAGGTCATGTAGTCCCACACACACACAAGCAGGGATCCTTTCTATACCATTCCCAAGTCTTCATCCTGCTCTACCTCCAGACCTATAGAAATGAAGTATCTGCTATCTCCCAAGGAGCAGAAATCTGTCTTCCTATAACTTCTACCCCTTGCTCCCAGTTCTACCTCCGGAGGGCAAGGAGAAAAAATTGAATCCCTCTTCCAAACAAA